GTACCGCTCCATCCCCACCGAGAGCTCGGGCCAGCCGCGCAGAGCGCTTTAATCGAGACGCGATGTGTGTGTGTGTGTGTGTGTGTGTGTGTGTGAGAGAGAGTGTGTGTGTGTGTGTGTGTGTGTGTGTGTGTGTGTGAGTGTGTGAGTGTGTGTGTGTGTGTGAGTGAGAGTGTGTGTGTGTGTGTGTGTGTGTGTGTGTTTGGTGCTGGGAGCGCATCACTCGTTGCGGTACTTCACGCGTTCACACGCGCCATTGACGCCAATGACATCACATCTGAGCGAACGCGTCCATTTACTGCGCTTTCATGCTTTTGAGTGCACGCGCGTAATAGTGCACTTACACGACGCGCGTGAAGAATCGTGTCGTGTAAGAACGCGTGCGTTTGTTATGCAATCCTGTGGTATTGTGCAGAGAGCGACGCGACGCGAGCGTGAGCGTCGGTTCGCGCGGAAGAGCGGTGTTTTCCATATACAGACTATATTTCACGCAGATATACATACAATAGACTCGGTGATGTCGCGTTGCAGTGAGCAGGGCCAGCCTGCGGGATTGTGGGTAAACCGCAAATAACATGTCCGTGAACATCAGGGGTTGTGTTTAGAATGGATGTAAACACAGACGAGCATATTCCTATATCCAGCAGTTCAGCAAAAACAGTAGTGTGACAATGTATTAGGACATTATTGATATGAGGTCTAAACTGAATGTATAGATTTATTATAGAATTAGAAAAACGGATTAAAATGGTTTTAGCTTAATATTTAAAGCTTGAATGTCAGCTACCCACTTAACCATGTAAAACAGTGATCTAGGCCAACACAATCAGTGTCAACACAAAGTAGTGGAACGATAACATCATGTAAATAAAACACAGTGCCTCGAAAATATAACAAAAATAGATATCAATCTAAGCACTGAACATATGCACACCTCTTAGAGATCGATATAGGTTGGTTTTTAATGATGTGCAGCAGTGGTGGAGCTACATTCAGGGGTCCATAGACCATGACAGAAAATCAGTGGATAACTCCAATCTGGCATAAAAAAAGCATGAATAAATCCTACGATTGCTGATTACTTCACATTACCCCACATTAGCTATACATTCCTACCGTAACTTGAAAAATGTTCGTGTATCGGAACTTATTTCTCTTATTTCTTTCATCTGATTAACCAGCAAAAGATCTAACATGAACTTATACAGTGCATTTTGTAAATGTTGTTCAGGAAACCTAAAACTTCAGCTTACTTCAGACAGGACTGACAACTTTTGAGTTCAGCCTGGAGTGAGAATTATTCAGGAAAAATGTACAAAATGTGTCATTTTTTCCCTCAGTTTTTCTAAACTAAACTCTACAGGGAACCCTATTAATAAGATTAAAAGCAACAATTGATTTGTACAAGTTCATATCCCTGCTGAAAACAAAACAAAACAATAGAAACCATCACAGAAAATCCTAATGGTTTCCACTACAAATACCATTACAAACATTACAAACCATCACCTTTTAACCATTGAAACCATTAAAAAATGGTTTTCTGCACGTAGTGTTTTAGGAGTCCATTAGGATGTATTGGTTTTAACAAGCCACCAATAGAAGGCAAGGCAACCCAATGTTGTAAAAAGTAAATTGAGTAATTAAAGTAATTATATAAGTAAAAATATAATAAATATAATTTTTGCATAATTCTTCTCTCTAGTGTACATTTTTCTCGCTAGTGCATGGACACTGAATGGATTTTCTGAGGTTATGTGACAATGTTTTCCGCGGTTGAAACACTCATTAAGTGATTACATGAGACACTACACATTCAGTAAGTTGTAGTGTATCTTTCAACATGCCCTCAGATGTTCATTCATTTTTATTTTAATGCTAATTAGAATGCACTCCACTGAACTTGAACCGTCACGCCACTAAAGAGCTCCAAAACTGTATTTATCGTTTGAAATTCTTATTAAGACGAACAGAATTTGAATGCTGAGACTTTGTTTTCTATTATCAAAGGTAACCTGCTCTGTCGTCTTTGCTCCGCGATGTGTTTCACTCCATAAGAAAACGAACATTTGGCGTGGGAGCGTGTACTAGTAGAGGCTGAAAGGTAAAGATAAAGCGCGATGTGGCACACGTCCTTGAGTTCAAGTCGAGACTACAATAAATGCTTCTTTCAGTACGATTAAACGAAGAAAATAAAATAGTGGCATATTAAATTTTGGGGTGGCCAATCAGATGTCAGGGGTGTCCAGTGCTCATATCAGTGCCACTGATGTGCAGATGAATTGCTCATATTTGAAGACTTATTCTTGAGAACACGATAACTCTTCTTATGCTGCAGTAAGCGCTGCTTCTGCCCTCTAGTAGTGTGTTAAACAGTCATCTTTTAGTAATCTTTTCAGAGACTGTCATTTTAAAGGGGTCATCGGATGTGATATGCTCTTTTACAAGTTTTACAAGTGTGTGTACACAACCACCTTATAATGATAAAGATTCACCCAGTGTTTTTAAAAAAAAATCTCGTTAAATAATTTGTCCTTTCTCATATCAAGCCGCTTGCAGATGCTTGGCTGTGTGACATCACACAGACCCAGGCCCCTCCCACGATAGTTGATTGACACTGGTGTTTAACCTTAGCTCCGCCCTGAGTGAGCTGTCATCAGTCCGCCATTGTTTCACCACCAGAGCAGAAGTAGACAAGAACGACTCCTAAGCGATTGAGGTGTTCTGTTGTTGGATGTAATAATGAACATAGCAGTCCTCATTTACTCCCAACTGAGCCGCTGAAGACGCAGTGGATTAACATTACTTTCGTTTCTGATGTGAATGCGTCCTCTGATCTACCTAAATGCATCTATGTTCGCGCAAATCATTCGTGATTCAGCCTCACCTACAGAAGAAGTGAGTATAAGGTTCTTTTATGAATCTTTGCAAATCACCTTTCCTAATAACGTGCTAGTCAGCAAGTTAAATGCAGCTAAATTCGGCTAAAGTAAACAGGATGGCTCGTCACCCCACAGAAGAGAGGGGCGGGGTCAGCAGAGCTCATTAGCATTTAAAGGGAAATCCAACCAAACTGGTTGCTGTGAACAGAGCTATTTCTGACAGGGTAAAAAGGCTGTTTGCTTTGAGATGGTGTGTGAAATACCATTGAGAAATTTTAACCAAAGTATGTTATAGACTTTTCATTAAGACCCTAAACAATCTTATCAACTTGTGGAAAATGGGCATCCGATTAGGGCTGAACGGTTAATTGCATTTGCGATAATATCGCAATATGAAAAAACTCGATTTTTCAATCGCAGAGGCTGCGATTACACTCGGTCACGTGACACGCGAGAGTAAAGAGGTGTGTTCGACTTGAAGATCGGTCATGTATGACATCAAAGTACGGCGAGAGAAACCATAAGGAGACGTCCGCGCTCTCTTATAGCTCTCGCAGTACTTTGATGACACACACCCCTCGGTCTAAGCAGCGCTGCTTCAAGTCGAGTGCGGGCCATCAGCAGATAAAGAAAAGAAATAAAACAGTAAACAGCCAAAGGATGTAACTTAGAATGGGAGATGGATCGGTTTGTGAAAGCGAAGAGAAAAGCCATAGATGAAGTCGCACAGACTCAGGCAGGTGCTGGTCATTTAAAAGCTAAATGCTGAAAATATGACGAGGCATATCTCGCTCTCGGCTTCACTCACCGTGTCTAAACTGGATGCGACAAAGTGACCATTGCAAATCATTTTAACGTTATGTCAGTACGTCATAAATAGAACAAGGCATCAGTTTAATGTCGGGTTTTGTCGTGGCTCGTGGCGCTGCATCTAGTGTACACAGCGTCACTGATTATAATGGGTTCTACTGTATTTTGTCGCTCGCGTCCGGTGTAGACACGTGTTTAATGTCGTTGGTGAGGAGGAAAGCCTGTGTGTGTTCTATGCCTTAGCGGACAGCATGAAACTCACAAAAAATAAATAAATAACAGAGAGAGAAGAATAATAATAACAGTTATTCTCTCTATGCTATTTTTCAATGTTTCAAGTGATGCAGGTGTTTTTTCCCTGTAGGTTTTTTAAATTTAAAAAAGCATTCATTTTTTATAATGTTTAGTAGATTTTTTTATATGTTTAAAGGGGGGTGTGACCAAAACAGTTTGAGAACCACTGGTCTAAAGTTAACAGACAGTGTTTAGTGCAGTCCACATGTTTACATATGTTTATTACAGTGACTGAATTACCTAAAGTAATGTGGTAAAGCAACAGATTTGTTTTTATATTTCTGCAATCTACTTTAGTTTGTGTGATTTGTTACTGACTTTCATATTAATGTTTACACCAGGCTTATTTGTCAGTGCTTTATGTTGCCATAATTATTACATGCTTACAAGGTTGGAAGTTCAACAAATCAGTCAATATACTGTAATTGTAGTTGTTAAAAATATCATTCATATTAATTCATGCATCACCTAATTTCATCATAACAAATAGGCCTGGCCTACAGAAAAGAACATTTATGTTTAATATATCTAATATTGTGTTGGTCATACTATACAATGATTTATAGCTTGTCTTTGTTGAATAATACAGAACATAAAGAGCTTTAAAGCATATTAAAATCAATCGCAATATTGGTAAAAAAAAATCGTAATTCGATTATTTTCCAAAATCGTTCAGCCCTACATCCGATGACCCCTTTAAGTTATTAGTCCTTTGACATAATAAAGAGTTCATCTTTTACTTAATGTGTTGTTTTGGCTTGTCTCAGTTATTAGCTGTTTAATAGTTATTAGTCATTTGAAACAATAAAGAGTTAATCTTTTACTTACTGTAATATGTTATTTTGGCTTGTCACTGTCATTCCAGCATTGCAAAAAAAAATATATAAAATAGAATAAATCAGCAGTAGTTAGTGTGAAAGTACTGTTGCACTGTGCACATTCAGTATATGGCTGTCTGCAGTTATATTAAGACTATTTTATGCATATCTCCCCATATTGCCCCAATGCTATCAC